CAATCGGTGGTTCATCATTGGCAAATCCAAAGCATGACTCGATCCATCCTAAGACCAAGGTTAAGACTTTAAAAGCTCCCTTCCCGTGTGGCACTTAAGGCAGGTTCGCTTCTGGGTGCTCTAAACACCCCCCCTCCCTGTCCCCGCTTTTGTGAAGTCTTGTTCACATGAACTTAGGAGCCTGGGCGTATACAACACGCAAAGACGGTCTTTACCAGTGAATGTACCTAAGTCGGTCTCTAGACGTACTAGCTTCTTCGTCCTCCTATCGGAGCATGGCAGATTAGGAGATACTGAGGTAAATGCTTCTATAGTTAGCTTGGTCATAGGCAAACTCACTCGCAATTCACCGACGCACTCTAGGGACAGAGATAGACCTAACTGCGTGCGACAGTCGAATTACCGATTGTTGTTAAAGTTTATCACATTATCTGTTTTGGTAAGTTTTGGCAATTGCACAATAGAGTTAAGGAGCCTCAAGGCAGAGGTTGGTATTACATTTTCCACTCCAGTTTAAGCTGGACACCTTATTCAAACGACTCATACCTATCGAAAGCCCCGAATCTGACTTACTATGCCAACGGCGGACGTGATATGAATGGAAAACTTCGTTCTGCATACTTTAACAGCGGACAATGGCCTCAAAGCAAACAGTTAGTATTGTTTTTTAAGCCCCTTTTTACTCAGACTAAATTTCAAGTGTTTAAGTATAAAAGGGAGTAAGTAAACGAAAAAGAGACAGGAACAACTTACCTAACAATTTCTGTTAGTCTCTTTGACAATTGTCGCTCTATTCGAAGGTACGACGCAGTATTGCCGACCGCATTTCCTACGCTGAGCGATTTTGCGTTTTCAAGGACGCTGAGGAGCCAATTAGCAAAAGCAAACACTGGTAGCAATCTACGCTCTTCGTAGCTTTCTGCTCCGGTTACAGCATTCCGCCTCCAGTTTTCGAAGAGGAAAGACACTAAGTCCTGGATGCCGACTTGATCAAGCAGGCAGACCACGTTCTCTACGATT